AGATCTATTTGACAAATTGACATTTGATTTAATGAGTGGTGAAGAATGTCTTCTTGTTTTCCTTGGACGTCTTCGACAGTAAAATTGAAAAAGAAAAAATCCCAAAAAAGAAATTCCTTCACAGTCCTGTGTCTATATGGTGAAACAAAAAACTTTTATGCCAGCCGTGTGTGTGTGTGTTGCGATTGATTGATTGATCGAATGACAAATATGTTTCAGAAAAAAAAACTTTCACTCGTAGCCAAAAATCTAGTCGTCGTCACACACTTTTTTAAATACATAGGTCACCATAGAAACATATCCAGTCAAAACAACAAAACTTTTCATTTTCGATTTTCGAAATTACTAATATTGATTCTGTGGAAGAAAAAACAAAAATGAATTAAATGAATCTATCGATCTTACAAAACATTATTTTCCAGAAGAGTTTTCAAATATTTAGGTTTCTGAAACTCTCTCTCTCCCTTTCTGTATTGAACACTTTGAATCCCAAGAAGAAATAAACTACGTAATAATAATCATCAATCGACACATCACACATCTTATCGTTTGCATTGTGATGAAATTTTTGCAAAAAATAAAAAAATTCCTGTGAATAAAATAAAAAAAACCATAAAGAATGATGAAACCAAAAAAAAAGGAAAAAAGAAAAGAATCTTTTCAGAAAGAAAAAATTTTCATTCTTCATTTTTTTTTCTTTTATTCATTGACAAAGAAAATGATGAATAGAAAAAATAGAAAAAAAATGTTCAATTCTAAACGAAAAAGAAAAAACGAAAGAAAGAAAAAATTCATTTCATTAGTAGATTATTTTCAAGATAAAAAAGGGGAAAAAAAGAGACCAGAATGAATGACAAAAACTAGCTGGAAAATAAAAAAAACCTATAGGAAAAAAAATAGTGATGATAGAAATGAATCTTTTTGAAATATTCATAGCTTCAGGTTAAGTCGATCGAATTCACACACACACACACACACATTCATCATCATTCCTTTTGTAAGAAGAAGAAGAAGAAGAAAAAAAAAATCCTTTTATTATCAGTTTTTTTTTTGTCAGTGCTCGGGTATTTTTCAAATAATAAATCATATATTCATAGCCAAAACTAAATGAAAATGAAAAGATATCATCCGAAAAAAAAAGATAAAGCATCCATCCATCCATCCATCCATCCATTTAGCCATCTCTCATCCACCATTCCAAAAGGAAAATAAAATTCCATAAAGTTCATATGTTTTTTTTTCGAATACAAAATTACAGAAATTATTTTCCGAACGATGACCTTTTCTTCTTTCTCTCTCTCTCTCTCTCTCTCTCTCTCTCTTGACGTAATCATGTAATAATACTAATGATGATGATAATTTGTCAAATTCTTGTTTCATTCATAAACAAATAATAATGATGATAATAATAATTTTAACCTTTACAATATTTTGCATATTTCACATTTTTTTTCCATAAAAAATAAAACTATTCTTTTCTTTTCTTTTCGTTCATCTATTTATTCATCATATTGAATATTGATGATGATGATGATGAAAATCATTAACGATAATTTTCTGTTTTTTTTTTTTTTTTGCTTTTGCCTGACTTATTCATTTCCAATCAATATAGCCGATGGCGAAGAAAAAAATAGAGGAAGAAAATAACGACAACAACAGCAACAAAATATTTATCAAGAAGAATTCATTTGAATACACAAATCAATGAAATGAGAAATCTAACGAGAATCTACCCCCCAAAAAAATAATAATTCCTTTCAAATAAATCAGAATCAATCATTATCAAAGCGAGAAAACTAGAGAGGAGAGAGAGAGAGAATGACTTTGTTTTCTTTTTTCTGTTCTGTGTTGTGTTGATTGTTATTCTGAGGTTAGTTTAGTTTAGTTTAGTTTAGTTTAGTTTAGGTTAGTTAGTTAGTTCAAGCAAGCCCCAAAAAACAAGAAAATTTATTCCATTTCCCAAAGTTTTCTTGTTTGCTTTTCTTTTCATTTTCATCATTTTCAACATTATTCAACAACATTGTTTTCACAGCCTCATCATTTGAACAAAACACAGGGGCCAACAACGAAAAAAAAAATTGCATACATAATCAACAGAAATAATGATTATGATAATGATGATAGAAACGAATGGATATAAACAAAAAATAGAAAAAAAATCTTTTACAATTCAATAGGTTCAGATGACATTCATTCAGATAATCAATTCATATTGACAATTTATTTATTTTATGGTTGGTTTTCACCAAACCAAAAAAATTGTGTGTCAATATGCGTCTATTTTTGAAGCGTCAAAATACAGAATACATAATACAGAATTGATTATGAAGCTTTAGGTAGAGGCCAAAATGATATGCAAATCAAGAGAGAAAATAAGAAGGAAAAAACGAAAACTTTAAAATGAAAAATTTGTTTGTTGTTTTGTTTTGTTTTGGTTTGGTTTTTTCAATTTAAATTCTACTCACGTTATCTTTTGAATGAATTATTGATGGAAAATTTTCCAATAAATAATCGATTAAATTCATATGACCATTAATAATAGCCAAATGAAATGGTGTAAATGAATTTGAATCTTTTGTACGTATAAATTCAGGATTTTTTGTTAAAATTTCAATCGTTTGATCAATATCACCATTAATAATTGAATTATGTAATACATGAATTTTTTCCATTGATTGTGGAATGGTTTTCAGAAATTTTCTTGCATCTTCACCAAACGAAGTACGACCAATCAATTCTGTACCATAACCATCTAATAATAATTCTTCCAATTGATTAACATTACCCGAATGTAATGCCATATTGATCTTTTCACGTATTGCAGGCTGTATATGTCGTCGCTGTTGTTGTTGTTGTTGATGTGAACGATTTGCATTAGTTTCACTATGAAAAAAAAATGATAACCAAAAAAATGATAAGAAAATTTTGTTTAAATTTCGACATTTCAACATTCATCTTACCCATGAAATTTTGAATGATAAAGATTTGATGATGAACCACCACCAGCACCACTACCAGCATTAACTGAATTATTTTTACCACCATTTGGTCGTAGAATTTCATTCGGTATGGCCAAAAAATGTACACGATAATAATCGGGTGTTTTTCCTTGCTGGTATGTTATTCATGTGTGAAAGGAAAAAAATTCAAAATCCATTATCAGTTTTTTTATTGGTTGAAAGAAAATATGAATAATAAAAAAAAAGAAGAAAATTTCCTTGGACATCGTTAAATGAAAAACATTCATTTTTTTGAATGTTTTTTCGTTTTTTTGGAAAATTACTAGAAAAAATTCTTTTAGAATGATAAAAAAGAAGAAGAGAAAGTTTTCTTTGCGAAAAACTTTTATTTTGAACTGAAAAAAAAAACATTTTTTCAAATAAACAAGCAAACAAACAAACTTTCAGTCAAGACAGTTTGGTTTTTCTAATTCTCTAATTCTCAATGGTTATTATGATCATCATCATCATTAATAGTTTTTTCATTCATTTTGCTAATTTCTTCAATTTTCATTTAATTCTTTTTTTGAAAAAAAAGGCAACTACAAACAAAATGTAATAATAAGAATAATATTGTCCGGATAAAACAACAACAACAACAAATATTGTTTGTTTGAACTTAGGGGAGAAAGTGTGTTGTTTTTCCCCCTGTGTTTGTTTTTCTATTTCTATTATGGTGGGGATGGTGGGGATTCTTTATATTCATAGTGATGATGATGATGATGATGATGATGATAGTAAATCGCTGACATAACATCCTTTTTACAGGATGTCCTATATACGATATATCCACATAAACACATTATATGTTATATAATTCGTTAAGTATTAGTGTAGTGTTTCATCACACAAATAAACAAACAAAACAAAAAACGAATCAAAACGATACATAAAAATACGATATCTCTCTCTCTCTCTCTCTCTCCTTGTGTATGCTGAAAATATTATTTTATTTTGTTTTTTCGGGAAGAAAGAAAAAAAAAGATTAAAAAAAAGAAGCAAAAGACCATTAATGTGTTTGGTTTGGTTAAGGCTACTATAAATATCACTAAAGAAAGGATACAAATATAAAAAAAACTAAAACAAATGTTTGCTGTTTGTTTATTTTTCTGTTTTTTTTAAACAGTAAGAATATATAGAGAATATAGAGAATAAAAAGGGATATTCTTCTTTTTCTTCAGAGATACTGTGATATTAGCAAGCAAACATTAACCATAAACCAAAAAAAAAAGTATTTAGTGAGAAAAGAAATATTGCCTAAACCAGGGAAAAAATTATTATTGTTATATAGCTAAAGGCAATGAACGCAAACAAAATAAAAAGGTAATCAAAGAAGCAAAGAAGCAAAGGAAAAAAAGACAATCAGATTTAATTAACTTTTTTTTAGTGGTTTTTCATCCATTTTGCTATTTCTTGGTTTTTATTGTAGAAAAAAAATTAATTCAAAGATAAAGACACCCACACACACAAATAATGTTGACATTTCGTTGCTTTTTTTTCGGTTTTTTTTGATGTTGCATGGGAAATTAAACAGAAGCATCTTTCTTTTTTTTGTTGCAAACATTATCAATGAATGTATGAGCAATATGCAATGGATATTATGCAAAGCATTTGTGCATGTGGGAGTTATAAATTAAAAAAATTAATTAATTAATTAATTCGATTCTCGATCGATGTATCGATCAATGATAATTAACAGTGAATATTGATTTGCATATGTAATTGGGAAAAAATTGAACAGAAAAAGAAAAAGGGTTATCATCTTTATCATTACAAAAACAGAAATAATAATGTCAACAAGAAAAAAACATCATCAAACTTGAATAAAAAAAACAAAATCTTATCCATAATCTTGTGTGAGATATCATTCATTTTGGGGAAATATGAAAGAAAAGATTTTTTATACTTACCGAATCACGAACACGAGAATCAGCACCAGCTTTAATTAACATTTTATAAATTTTATTACCATTACGATTAGTTGTTGCTGTTGAATAATGTAATGCCGTACGACCTTCACGATCTTTTGCATTAATTGTTTCGGGAAATTTTTCCAAAATATATTGTACAATTTCAACATGACCCATTATTGTTGCTTTATGTAATGGTGTCATACCAAAATGATCTTTTGATAAAATATAATCATTTTTCATATTAAAATCATTTTTTTTCAATATTGTTAAATCACCCATTGAAACGGCTTGATGTAGATTTTGTATTTTATTCATTATAATTGGTACAGTTTTTTCAATATAATTTTGTGTCATAAATAAATCATTATTATTATTACTAATATCATCATTTGAATGTTGTCGTATTAATAATGATGTTGCTTTTTTTTGTAAACGTTCACCATGTCCTTCTAATACAACACCTTCTAACATTTCAATATTATTTTCTTCAATCCATTTTTTTAAATTAGCTGAATTGATTTCCATTTCTACAGATTTACCAAAGCAAAAAAAAAACGAAAAACGAAAACAAAAAAAATGAATGAATCGAGTAATAAATCAAATATCATTTTGACAAATGTTTTTTAATGACCAGAGAAAACCCAAACAAACCCAGATAATAACTTACTTTGTGTTTTATGATTATCATTACCATTATTATTTGTTTCATTTGAATTTGATTGTTTTCTTCTTCTTCTATTTATTATTGAATCTTTTTGTTTATTACTATCATAATAATCATTATGGCCATCATCATCATAATCATCATTAGATGTAACCATTTGACGATGTTGTTGTTGTTGTTGTTCATCATCATCATCACTAACAGCCGATGTTATTGTTTGATTGTCCATATCTTCATTTATTTAGAGAGAAAAAAAAACGTGAAACATTTTTTTTTTTCGTGCAAGAATTGAATTGAAAAAGGAAATGAAAAGAAAATAATTAATGATCAATCATCATCAATTATGTTATGTTTTGTTGGCTATAGAAAAAACAACAAACAAAAGCAAACAAACACTAACCATTTATAATAATTTGATTGTCGTCGTCGTCGTCGTTGTTAATCGATTGATGATGATGATGATTCCAATTAGGCGATAAACTTCGTCGTTCTTTTCCTATATATATCGTGTACGTTTGTTTGTTTGATTGGTCCATTTGAAAATTATAAAAAAAAAGGAAAAAAAAAAGAGAAGAAGGGAAAAAAAGAGAGAAAATGTGATTAATAAAGTCAGGTCTTTTTTGTTCAAAAATCTGGAAAACAGCGAATGAATGAATGAATGAATCTCTCATCCATCTTTGTTTTTGTTTTCAAAATAGCAAAAATATATTTCATATTTTTCCGCCTGTCAATCTGTTTATATCAATATGATATGTTTGTGTGTGCAATTTACAATGGAATTTACTTTGTTTCAAAACAAAAAATTTCAGATTTTACATTTTCATCACATCACATCACTGAATCACTGAATCACAGAATTCAACAAACAAAGCAGTAGAACAACAAAGATAACAACAACAATCTTTTTCCATAGAAAAAACAAAACAAAACAAAATATTAATGTACTTTTTGTTTTTTGGTTGCTTCAAAAGATGACAAATAGCTTTAAATTTCATTCTTGTTTTGTTTTATTCACAAAAAAAAAAAATTTCATTTCAACATACAAACATATCACAAGAGAATCATCAACAACAATAATTCACTGGAATTCTGTTATTTTTTTAGTTTTTTTTTAGCATTTAGTTAATGATAGTACTGATGATGTTTTGTTGTTTGGTTTCATTTTGAAAACAAAATAACAAAAAAACATGAGAAAAAATTATTAGAATCATCATCATCATCAATATCATTCGACATGGTTAAATTTTTCTTTTCCCTTTATATAATGTTAATTATATATAAGAATCATGTATACAACAAAAAAAAAAGACAGAACATAGATGCAATGATTCAAGCATTTAACCTTTGTTACATCATCTTATTATCATTCGATAGTGTATAAGCTTCCTTTCTCTCTCTCTCTCTCTCTCTCTCTCTCTCTCTCTCTCTCTCCCTCTCTCT